CGCTTATTCATTTCTAATATACATCAATAGTTGCTCAACGTTTTATGTCTACTGGTGTACATCGAATGCATTTCGAAAAGCATTCTATCTGCTAATTAGTCCGCATTTGCAAAAATATTCAAATAATCAATGAATATACTCAAACACCGATATTTAACATCATACATCACAGTTTGTTCGCTCAGTCGAAGTTTCATCTGCCGTTACTCGTCAATCTCCAGTTCAATCTCACACGGACATTTCATCAACAATCGAAACCGCATCTGCTGAGATACTATCCAAAGACACCACCAGTCATTGGTGGACCGAGAAAGATATTTTATTATATTATATTATTATATATTATATTTTTCACTTTTGAAATCATCACCGACACATACAAATCGAAGGAAATTTGGAAAATATACGCTCAGTTGAGATTAGGTTAAGTTAAGTTAAGTATAGTATGAAGTTCTTTTGATCTTGAAAGCACATGGTTGAATAGCCCAAAGTGTGTGCTTTCCAATGCATCATTTTTGTGTCGATAGGATAGCTTTTTGATGGTTTTTAATTGAGTTCCAGAACCCCTGTACAAGTTTCGATATAATCCTCATGTAGTTGCGTGTTTACCTATTCTTTGGTTTCATTCAATTTTTAAATTGAATTTCAATCATAAAATTTTCTTTCAATGATTTCTTACAACATACACAGTTTGCCAAAGTACGTCGATAAACTGGGAAGTTTTTGTGCACAAGAAAATCCTTCCGTTATCTGCATCCAAGAAAGTTTCACGGACATCTCGATCCCAATATACTCGGTTTTTTGCACTATTTAAATGACTTTTAACGTACTTAACTCTCAAGGAATCGTTGTTTACGTAAGGCATAATATTTACCAGTCGTAAATGCAAATCATGTTTTTCTTCCATTGATATATGGATTATTATTTATTCTCATATTTTCACATATTCTCGCCCAGCGAGAAAACAAACATTCTTAGTGTGTACAGAGTGGAAAAAGTAAATTCGTTGTATTTCTAGTGTCTTCCGATTGAGAAAAAATTATTTTGATTCAATGAACAAACCATTCGTTCGGTTTGATGTTGATTGTAATTTAAGTAGACTGTCCGTCCGCCCGAGTACTCACATATGTTTACCGAAAGCACAAAATTTAATAATTGGATAAGCTGTACTCTGTTCTTTCTTGCTTGTTTTATAGTAACATATGCATGAAGCGGAAGCACAAGCAGAAACAGTAGAGCCGCTTGAAATAGAGGAAGCGCAACTACATGAGGATTATATCGAAACTTGTATAGGGGTTCTGGAACTCAATTAAAAACCATCAAAAAGCTATCCTATCGACACAAAAATTATGCATTGGAAAGCACACACTTTGGGCTATTCAACCATGTGCTTTCAAAATCAAAAAGGCTTCATACCACCACTCGAGATGGGATCCATCTCATGAAAAACATCGAGTATGGCCTCCACAGGCGATTTTTGACGACGAAACAAACGTTTTGCTGAAGTCATGAATAGCACATCAAGCGGCTCACGCCAGTTTTTAGCGCTGATTGCAAATATCACCTTTATTTTGCTTTTAAAAACATAGAATGGATACTTTGGGACTGCCGCAACCTCAAAATTATAACGTTGCTACAACCCAAAATTGAGATACTACCTACCCATACCCATACGTATATGTACACCCGACCTACACATGCATACCTGTATCTACCCATACCTACTCGTACCTACTCATTCCTTGACGTTGCAGCAACACTATTAAGTGGTGTTCGATCTACATGGACATTCAGGATTGGAGAGTGGGGCGATTGTAGCATGAGAGTGAGCTACCAAACAGCATTTGATTTCGTGTGATAAAGAATATTATACTGCTTGTCCTCTTCATAATTATTGTTGTGTTGCACCTGTTGTACATATAGGTATGGGTAGATACGAGTAGGTACCTACCCATACCTACTAATTTTGAGGTTGCAGCAACCCGAAATTATCCATGAGGTCTTTAAAAACGACTCTTGATGGTTAAAATTTGAAGTAGTTTCCAAAATTTTACTGATTTTGAGTCACGCTTATTGTCACGGTTCCACTAGGATCCCAACTGTTAACTCAATGTTTTCTACATATTCTAGTAGTTTTTTTCACAGGCTATTCATTACAGTCGGAATGTTTGTGGTTAAAGTACCCTTTGTGGTGAAAAAAGCAAAAATACAGATTATTGACGTGTTTAATCATGCTGAATAATTTGCAATGATTTGAATCCGTAGAAGCAATTATTTGTACATATTCTTGTAGTTCTTTTCACGAACTATTTATTACACTAGGAATTGTTTGTGATTAATGCTTGAATTTTTCGTGACACGACATTTCCGCGAACCACATTATCGCGAGACATTACCGCCAACTACTATTATGTCAACATAGACCATAGGTGGCAAATTTTTCATAGTACACATTGGGTTTTTCTGACATCGTGTAGTGGGAGGTGGTGGCTTGAGGGCAGTGTGAGAGTGAGTTCGAAAAGTAGTTTAGTTATCAATACCCAATGTGTACTATGAAAATTTTGCGACCTATGGTTTGTGCCGACATAGATCATGGGAAAAATTTTCAATCCGTAATATAGGTGGGGAAAGATTTCTATGATCTATACCGAGGTAATGACGCTTCGCGGTACTGTTGGTGTATTGAATTTTCCACACTTTTAGATTCAATATAATAGAAATCCTCTATGAACGACTGCAGCGGAATGTAGCCTCTACGATAACAGCTGAATTGAATTGTTTTCTCGTTTGTGAAATATCACTATCGTAACCATGAGATCATTTGTCTTGCTTGTGAAGGCAAATTGTACTTGTGCAGTAAGTGACGGCTACGTTGACAGAGTTCAAACGATCGAATATTCTACGTTTTCTTAAACACTTATATTAAAACAACAAAGCTTATCTGAAAAATATGACTCTCCTCGTTATGGTTACCATTTTTAATGAGAAAACGAAGGGGAAACGAAAGATATTGCAGTTGCAAGAACACAATATAAAACTACCTTCACTATCACTGAAAGGTTTCCAGCGCAGTTGTTGTCTCGATGACGATGTTGCAAGGCGACCATTATCGAATAGATTTAATGTATTTTCTCTGATTAGTTGCGCATTTTCTTGAATAGTGGGATATTGAAATAGAACAGAAATATTTAAAGCTCTATTAAAATTAAAATTTGTTTGATAATAATTAGACAATCTCATTAATAGTACTGAATTGCTGTCAACAGAAAAAAGGTTTTAATTCATTAAGATTTTTTTCAGATTTAATGTGTCGCACCGTAAGTAGTAAGTTTAAAAGTATCGTCTCTAATACCACAAAGAAAGATGGTACCATACATGATGCAACCTGTGACTAACAATATTGTTTAGTTTTAGATTTTAATAAATCATAATTTTGTGGTATCCGTTGATGCATAGCAAATCAGGCTTATTTTTTTGGGGGCGGTTTGGAGAAAAACAGCATACATATTCTGATTCCTTTTTGCATGCAGATTCCAAATCCGATGTTTGTTTTCTGGTGGAACGTCTAGTTTTTGAAAAAGAAGCGAAAAACCCTTTTTACGTTGAAATTAGGTATTTTTCTCCTTCTCCTTTTCTCTCTCTCTTTCGCTCTCTCGTTCTCTTTCTTTCTGTTCGTTTCACCATTTTCATGTTGAACGGAGAGAATGAGAAAGAGAATATACACCTATATCTTCTATAGCTATTTTCTTCAAACATTGACACAGAAAACAACTTTCGTAACTATAAACGAAAGCAAATTGCTGTCAGGACAATACAAGCATAAGTGTTCCCATTGCACAGTTTCACATATGCCCGAATTTGGAAAATACTCAGCGTTTGATCCGGCGAGGGATGCCAGAACATTGAATCAACAACACCAGGAAATTGGAAAATCGAAATGGGGCTTTGAATATCAGTACGAACCTCTTTTCCGTAGAAAAGTACAGTAAGGAAATATATCCATCACAGATTTATTGATTTGTTATTACACTAAGCATTATCGAGTCTATTATACTTGCGTCCGATTTGGAAGAAACCGGTATATGTTCTGATTCAGTTTCTTACGTAGATTCCAAATTTGGTGTCTGTTTTTAGGTGCAAAGTCTAGTTTTCGAGAAATAGAGGAAAAACTGGTTTCATAACTAGTTATACCTAGTTCTTAGACCAGTGAAATGTAGCATCAAGTGTCTCGTTTCCAAAACTGAAAACGACAGGTCGACACCTACTTTCGTTCTCGCGTCTTTAAAAATATAACCATCCGCCTTCTATTTCGAAATGAGTAATTGCCATAATAATGTTTTTCAGTGAATAACCAACTATAGTTAATATATTGAAGCAATATCTGTCAATTGGATTATATGGTCAGTGTCCCTTTGATGCCATTTATTAGCCAAATGGCAGTTGAAACGGGAAAAAAGAGCTCAGCTCAAAGTATTCCAGGATGATTTTATTTGTTTTCGTTTTTGATGCTTCCTTCCTTGCAGAGTTATCGATGAAGAAGATAAGAAGCAATAGGAAACCACCCGATCAGAAGGCCACCAAAAAGTACTTGATTCTCCAAGGCTCAATAGAAGATTATGCACTTCTAATCTGGGAGGAGATTTATGATTTCTTTTAAAGTTTCATAATTTATGGTTCACGAGATGTTGCCGCTTTCCAAAGCTTTTTTCCGGATAGGCGCTCGAGAGCTCAGGATAGTTATTACTTGTGCCTCGAATCGTTCTGTTTGAAAATTATTAGGGATATCAATTGGAAAAGGAGAGAAACCAAACAAATAATCATGGTGATGCAACATCCTCATGTAGCATACTATAAGATTAATTGTCAAATGTTAATATTCAAATGAACAGTTTATCTCGGTAGCCTCTTCTTTTCAGTTTTCAGTTTTATATTCATCTTTTAGTTATATATATGGAGAAACACTGCAATCTATATCTACTGAAATTCTCCTCCTTGCAGTGTTTTGTATTTGTTAAAGAGAAATGAATTGTCCCGAGATATCAAAAAACGTTCGAAACCATTTTATGCCTCTGCTGGATCCATCTGATTGCTTTGTCAATAATCGTATCTTTTTTTTCTAAAAAAGCTCTAGCTCTCTAATCCAATGACGTTGATAGACAGAAAATTTTCGTTCAGTCTGTTTGTGTGTTCAATTTTTCTTTTGATAATGAAAAAATTCATAATATCAAACATGTTTTAGATACCCTATTTGAAGTGCTTATCGTTGGTGATTTTATCGATAATGTTGTCTTTTTACGATTTTCATCTTTTTCCAAAATTATTTTTTCTAATTGACTTTGAAAACGTGCTAATTCCAAGATAGATAAATCATACCCTAATTTTTTACTATCATTTTGTAACAAATCAATAATTTGATTTGAATTAGTTTTACATAACAAATGTAATTGTATTAAACTATTACCATCGAAATTCGATAAAATTTTTGAAAAAATCATTAAATTATAATCTTCACACCAATGAACAATATCAGTATTTGTCCACTTTTTGACTTCTTTGTTTAGATATTGTTTCTGAATATTAGGCGATGATATTATCGGAGTAATATGTTCATTGGATGTATTTTCAGTAATAATATGTTTAGCTTGTTTTATTTCTCTGATCAACATATTATAGGCCTGTTGGAATTCATATTTCGTAAAATCAATATAGAGTAATGAGCCAACTATCAAACCAAGCCAACCATCAGCTTTATATGATCGTTGTATAAGTACTGGAATTATTATTAAATTTCTTTTAAATGCATATTGTGCTTCTGCACGACAATAATTACTACGTTTATAATTTTCACTCATAAATAATAGAATACAATTAGTTGATTCAATTGCAGTGGCCATAGAGTCCATCATATTACCAGACATTTGTTCATAATCAACCCATACACGATAGCCACTTGTATTTAAACTATCTTTAACGCGTTGACATAATTCTTTTTCACTATGACTGTAACTAATCATTAAATCAAATTTGTGATTCAAAACATTGACATTATCAACATTTGTTTCCAATTGAATACTTTCTTTCTTTGTGGAAGGTGAAAATTCAGCTTGTTCAAAATCAGCACTGGGATGACGAGAACGAAATCTGGGAAAATTATGAGAAGAATTCGTTGCCAACACTGCTGGCGAAGAAGGGGGAGGTGGAGGAGCCGCGGGAGACGGGGAATGTCCTGGAAATGTGACACTGGAATTTATCGAAGTCGATTGTATATCAGTTTTCATTTCTACATCTGTCAGTTCCTGATATAGACTACTTTGATTTTCTTCTCCTACTTCTTCATTGAAAATACTAGAGGATTTGGTCACAGGCCTTGAGATACCACTACTAAGCGGTTGTGAACGTTTTTGATGCTTTTTCTTATTAATAGAGTCTTGTTCCAATCCTAAATTCCACAATATACCTGATACTGTTTTATCATCTTTCAATCTTTTAATTGTATTTACAAATGCTTTATCATTCTTCAATTGTATCTGAATATTGGAATGAAACGATAATGTCCATAGTATATCATACATGATTGGATATTGTATTGACATTTCTATTAAAATTTTTATGTTATCTGTCTTCGATATTAAATCTTGAATAATATCATTTTTACAAAATAATAAGAGTCCTTTTAATAATAATAATATGTCAATGTGATGATAAGATTGTGTTGTTGAATTAAAAGCACGAATTAAATATGTAAAATAATCATTAATTAGATCATTAATAACATCGATGCTAGTTGCGTTTAAGTCTGAGTCATTTAATAATTCGGCTAATAGTAGAGATGTTCTTATGCCTAAATTATCATCGCGGCATATTTGTGTTAATGTTAAACAACTTGATATTATTTTTTTTTCACGTAGTACTGTTCTTATTATTTCATTATTATCACTACGACAACAATTTGTTAAACATTGTATGACCATATTGATTAAGATTGTCTCGTCGTTTATCCATTCTGATTTTACTTTTTGCTGAAATTCTTTATAATTTAGTATATTAGACATAGCTTCTGAATATTCATTATCAATTTGAAATGATTTGATTATTTCCGAATTTAAACAACAATTTGTTATTAAACAAATTACACCTGAAAACAAAAGCAAACAAGTGTTTTCATAAATAGGATTTTAATCCAGTAAGATGAGCTTTCTTATTTAATAACTTTATTCCTAATGACACTAATTGTCTGACAAAGAGGTTAAGGGATGTTCCGTATACCCATCTAGCTTCAACCAAAAGGGCAGATACAAACTATTCTAGCCTCGAACTTGTCCTATTCGATTTTCACACTAAAAAATAATGTGTCGCATGTGTCGCAAATTGCGACATATTCTG